CAACAACATATCAAAAAAATAATAATGCCTCACAACCAAGTGGGAGTCACACCAGTGATGCAAGGGGGGTTCAGGATCAGGGAACAATCAACATACTCTGCATAAAAATGACCCTATCAATCAACACAGAAAGGCGGTTAAGAAAACTCACTGTCCACTGCTGATGAAACCAGTCAACAAAACACCAGTAGACGGAAAGCCAAGATAACGAGGGCATATATGCACACACCCAACCTTCAACCTCACTCTCAGGGGAGAGCAACTGATGCCCCTCCCTAGCAAACAGGAGCCAGATACCCAGGCCCTTTGTCACTACTCCTGGGGTGGCCCGGAGGATCAGCACTGTACCCCAAGGTCAGCTGTTCACACTCACCAGCAGCTCCTCAGAAACCCTATACAGTGTTGCTATGAGTCAGAACCAACTCCCTGGCACTTAACAAAGTAACATTCCAGGTTGTATTGGAAGTCTTACTGAGGGCTTTAAGAAAAAGAAGAAATAAAACTTGTATTTGCAGATGACATGATCCTACACTAAAAAAATCCCAAAGATTCAGCAAGAAAATTATTGGACCTCATTGAACGATTCAGCAAAGTGGCAAGGTACAGGATCAATATACAAAAATCAGTTGGATTCCTTTACACCACCCCAGAGAGCTCTGAAAAGGAAATCTGGAAGACAATAGCATTTACAATAGCCACCCAAAGATGAAATACTTAAGAATAAATCTAACCAGAGATAAAAACAAAACCAAACACTACAAAAAAACAAGAGATGGACAAAAATGGAAGAGTGTACCATGCTCATGTCTTGTTGCTATGAAGTGCTGTCAAGTCGGTTCCAACTCATAGTGACCCTGTAGAGGGCTTCCGATTAGCAACTGGAGGGTTTGAACTGCCGACCTGGTGGTTCGCAATCCAGTGCTGATCCTACAGTGCCACACCAGGAGTTAAATCTTGTGCAAATATCAACACTGCCCAAAACAATCTATAGATATAATGCAATCCCAGTTATTCTTTAAAGAGATGGAAAAACTAACCACAAACTTCATATGGAAAGGAAAGAGACCCCAGATACACATTACTAAAAAAGAGGAACCAATTCGGAGGCCTCTTCCTTCCCGATCTCAAAACCACAGTGGTACTGGTACACTGGACGGCACGTACATCAACAGAAGAAAATGGAGAACCTAGGAGTACATTCCTCCACCTGCTATCAGCTGATCTACAACAAAAGGCCAAAACACACGAAATAGGAAAGAGATCATCTCTTCAACAAGTGGTGCTGGAAAAATTGGAAATCTATGTGCAGAAGAATGAAACAAAATGCATTAATCTCATGCCATACACAAAATCAAACTCAATATAGATTCAAGACTTAAACGTAAAATAAACCCAGAACTATACAGACCATCAATGAAAAATCAGGGACAAATTAAGGGGGTCTGAAACACGGCTTAAACACACTCTCAAACGTAGCTGAAAACACACAGATAGCAGAAGGCAAAATAGATGACTGGGACCGCCAACAAACTGTTGCTTATCGTTAAGTGCCATAGAGTTGGTGCCGATTCATAGGGTTTGCGGAGAGCAACTGGTGAGTTTGAACAGCTGATCTTGTGGTTCAAACTGACCTTGTGGTCCAGTGCTTATCCTATAGCTCTACACCTGTTGTTAAGTGCCATCGAATTAGTTCTGACCCATAGCGACCCTGTATAGGGTTTCTGAGGAGTCACTGGTGAGCCTGAACCAATGATCTTGCAGTTCAAACGGCTTTGCAGTCTGGCGCGTTAACCCACAGCGCCACACCAGGACTCATAACTCTACACTAGAAATCAAAAAAATTATATAAACCAAAAGATTTCACCAAAACAGTAATAAGACAAACCACAGACTAGAAAAAAACATTTGGCCAAGACCTAGCAGACAAAGAACTACCCTCTCAAATTTATAGAACACTTCAACAAGACAACAAATAATCCAATGTAAAAATGGGCAGAGGACTTGAGCAGACACTTCACCAAAGACCTTCAGGCAGCCCAACAAACATGAAGAAGTGCTCATGATTACCACTCATTAGAGATGCAAACCTAAACAGGACTGAGCTCTTACCTTACTCCGGCATTCACAGCACTTCCAAGACAACAGAAAACAACTGATGCTGGACGAGGGTGTGGAAAGTCTTGGACCCTCGCATGCTTCTGGCGGGACTGTCAAATGGGGCAACCGCTGTGGAAAATGGCATGGCACTTTCCAGAAGGTTGGGAGGAGAAATACTGCATGGCCCAGCCCTCTCCCTACTTGGTATATGGTTATGTGTCGTGCATAGCGTTTCCGAGGCTTTAGAGAAAGCCTCATCTTTCTCCCGGGGAACAGCTGGTAGTCTTGAACTGCTGCCCTGGAGGTTAGCAGCCCGACTCCTAACCACTACGCTACTGAAACCAGAGCCGTGGCAGGAACAGACACAAACGCACACGTGCTCACTGCGGCATCAATTACAACAGCCCAAGGATGGACACAGCTAGATGCCCACCAGCAGAGGAAGGGCTGAACAAACTGGGGTGCGGACACATGGTGGACATCAGGCAGCACCGAAGGACACCGGTAAAGAGCACTGGCAAAACACCGCCACATAGTGTGGAGGACACTGTGCTGAGAGCAGTTAGTCTGTCATGAGGAGACAGCTGTTGTTTGAAGCCAATACTGTAAAAAGTCAAGAAAAAGTTTTCACTCTGTAACACACCTTCTGTGCTAGTTACCGGACTCCTGGTGTGGACTATGAACCATAGGGTTGGCGGTTCAACTCCACCAGCTACTCCTTAGAAACCCTACGCAGGGTCACTATGAGTCAGAACTGACTTGATGGCACTTCACAACAGCAACATGATGGCTGCCAGGAGGTGAGAGGGAAGGGCAAATTATTCACTGGTGTGAAGCGGCAGGATCAGCACTCGACTACACGATCGGTTCAAATCACAAGGCCGGCAGTTCAAATTCACCAGCCGCTGCTCAGACACGCGATACATGGGGTCACTATGAGGTGGAACCGATTCAACAGTACTTAACAACGAAACAGTGTACACACACGTTAACCTGGATGACGGGGAAGGCAGCTAGACAGAAAAAAAGAGGCAAAATAAAAGGAAAGTGCTATTTTGCGTGTGTATCTGAAGGGAAACAACACATCTGGGAACTTTCAGGCAAATGGGGAAAAAAAGCAGAGAAAGAAAGAGAAAGGCGAGAAAAAGGAAAAGAATTGGCCGTGGACAGCAGGGTGGGAAGTGTGGTGGAGCGGCTGGCTTTTCGGTGCCAAAGTGGTGGAGACGTTTCAAAGCCACCAGCCGCGGCTTGGACAACCTCTCTGTAAAGGGGGCTCTGAGATGGAACAGACCACAACAGGAAGAATGAAACGCCGGTGGGTGGGCGGCTCTCCTCCAGGGGCCAGCTGTCCCTGTTGCAAAAGCTCCTGCTCAGCAGCCCCCTAGCGCCCCTTGTGACCTCAGGACGTACTCTCTTGGTGGACGGAATCCGCAGGCAGTCTTCCTCTACGTGAAAGCCGCACGCCTGGCCCACCTCCCTGATGAAGTCCAGGTACTCGCGGTACTGCGTCTTCTGGCTCTGGCGCCGCCGGTACTTCCCCGCGAAGCCGAAGAAACAGCAGGGGAGCACGAAGAAGCGGCAGCGATAGGAGGACCTGCGCGGGAGGGGCGGGGTCGGCGGAGTGGGCGGGGCGGACTGGCGCAGGCCCTCCCCGCAGCGCCCACCTCCGGGGCCAAACACGGAAACCCAGTGCGTGGTGGGTCTTGTATGTTTTCAATATAATTGTCACTTCTAGAAAGTGGACAAGGGGCTCTGGTAGCATAGTGGTTACGAATCGGGCTGCTCACCTCAGGGTCAGCAGTTCGAAACTACTAGCTGTTCCACTGGAGAAAGATGAGGCTCCCGTAAAGATTTACAGCCTCGGAAAAGTTGTACTGGGTCACCAAGTCGGAACCGACTCCACCGCACATAACCACCACCACCATGAAGAGAAGGCTTAGGGCCCAGCCACGCTGACCAGACAGCCCGCCCAGGTGCCACTGCAGACACGCGTGCACGCCGCTCTCACACGGACACACATGCGTGCTCAAGACTGAGGCAGGCAGGGTTCCCTCTGAACACAGCCCCTCCTGTTTTGGGGAACACTGCCCCTAAATACTCATATCCCTGGCTACAAGGCTTATATAGGCAGACAAGAGGCCAGCCGCCAACATAATCTTCATTTCAAAGCACCAGACTTGAAACAGTAAAGGGGTGCAGGAGGCGTTTGGACGGGTCCTGCCCTCAAGCTTTCACGGGCTTCACCTTGTGCCCGCCCCACACATGCCTGTCCTCCATGTTGGCCACTGACATCACGTGATGCTAATGCACACAGACCGCAGCCTAGAGTCCGCACCCCTTTCTCTGCACTGGGGAACCCAGAAAGCCATGTGACCCCTTCATCATTGGGGTCTTCATCTTACTACCCGGGTCTGGAACCAAACCTGCCCCATCTCTGAGGTCTGTCTGTCACACTATGTTCCATGGTCTCCTTGCAGCTACCTGGACTGGCCATACCTGCAGTCCTCACCTGGCGGCGATGACCGGTATCCAGGGCGTGAGCTCATCGGAGTGGTTACCGATCAGCCAGTCCGCATCAGGAAAGAGGTTCCGATCGTCAGGCGTGATGGCGCCTTCCTGAGAGAAACAGGGAAACCAGTGTGGAGGACACCCCCAGGGCCCTGAGGGCCAAGGACCAGGTGTCCAGCCCAGGGAGAAGGGCTCACACTGCCAGGCACCATCGAGTCCGTTCCCACTCCCGGAGACCCCACAGGGGCTCAAGGCTGCGGCCTTCCAGACACAGAGCAGCAGGTCTTTCTGGTACTTCTGGGGATGGGAGCCCCAGCTTTGGGCGAGCCGTCAACCGCTCCCTGTTTATGGCACCCTGGTTGTGTACAGCCAGGCTCTGCTTGCAGTGGGCTACCCTGCTGAGAGCACCGATCGTGGCTCAGACGTGAGCACCCCTTCAGGACCCGCTCTCTCGGGGAGCAGGCAGAGAAGACGGCGCTGTAGGTACAGGGAGATGGCACTCAGCAGACAGGACCCCTCCTGCGAGGACAGACCGCATCCTGTACCTCCAAGTGCGTCTCTGCCCCGAACATGGTCCATATGTGTCTTCTTCGGACATCAATCCCGCGGCCTGGGTGCTGAAACCGTAGAGTGAGAGCTGTAAAGCCCTGCGGGTGCTCCACCTCACCCCCAGCCCCCACAACGTGGCCAGGAGACCTGAACTACCAGCTGTCTGCAGTGGCCACTGCCCCCGTGGGTCTACTCCTCTAGGGACCCCCGTGGCAACGCTGGGCCCCCACATCCCCTCCAGGCAAGCTGGTACTCTCAGGCCTGCCGTTAGTGACCATGCATGCGCCTTGCACTGTGGCAGGCCACATCTGGAAGGAGACCTGCATCAGCCGGTGTGTGGGTGCTACAGCTCCAACCTCGCTATGTTGTAAGGCACCAGCCCGCTCCAAGCTCCTGACTCAGGAAGCAGGGGCGCCGTCCCCACACCTAGTGCACCGTAGCTTCACAGGCCTCGCTCAAGGCTTGGAGCTGCTCTAAGCACCTGACCCTTCATCCCTCCCTGCCCCCACCCCACAGCCAGAGTGCGGCTGATGCTGGAAGCCTCTCCTCACACAGGAGGACACGGGTGTGTCCCGGGAGGCTGTTGGGGTTTCCCTCCTGGTCTACAAAGTAACTGGAGCCTGTAACAACAAACCACTATTCCCACAGCCACACAGACAGGAAACCAACCCAGGGCCTGGCCCAGAGGGGCCCGAGCGCAGCATTACCCCTGCGCGGTGGAGGATGTGTGTCAGGAGCCCGTTCCCGCAGCCCAGGTCCACGAAGGACTGCTTCTCCACCACCCCGCGCTTGGCTCGTTCCTCCTCCCACAGGATCTGAGGCACACAACAGACAGAGCCAAACTGAAGTGAGAAGGGACACTACCCAGAGAGATCAGACACGGCAGCCTAGGGCTGCAAAGCCCTCATCCACACCGGACAGGCTTGTCAAAAGGGTGGCCCAGGCAGTCCTGGTCTCCCTGGGTCTCCAGCCACCAGACACGAAGGAGCTCTCGTAGCGGGCCTAAGGACTGCACATGGAAGAGGAC